TAGTAATCACTTGCTTTTCTGCTTCGGTCAGGTGTGCCTCTTCATGCCATGCCATTTCCCCTCTCGCATACCTACGAAGACCTTTTGTCTTCCTTCACATCACAAATGACCGCAGGAAAAGAGAAACACAACCCTCTTTCTTTTCCTTTCTCTACGTTTCCCCGTCAAATTGCTTCGCACAGTGCCCTGAGCTCGAGTGCCAGCTACCATGTCTCGGTACCTACTCCCTACCCGACTGCCACCACCACACGCCATCAAGCCACAAGTTCCCCCGAGACTCGCGTGCTGTGCCGTTACGCTCTTCCTCTCTGAGTCCCTATAGTAGGTAGATACCTACCTCAACTCACCGGCTTCTAAGCGCTTGCAGGATACTTATTCTTTCATAGCCAGATGTCCGAGTATCAACAAGTACTGCAAGGTACCCGTCATGCCTTTCTTTTTCGTCGACCCAAATGCGGATATTCAGCCTCCCAAGCCGCCACTTGGTTCCCGTTTCGCCCTTTGTCCGCGGGCCGAGTGTCCTCAAAGTGTCCGCGAGACATGAGACCAGGTTCACTCGCACAGATACAGCTATCGTCAGACGGCCATTGTTGCTAGACCACCTCGAACTGTTTGCCGCCTTGTCCCGAGTGTTCGCCATGGCATCTTCCGAGAACGGCGGAAAGAAACGTCACCACCCAGTCCACTCAGCCCACCCAAGTCCGGACGAGAACTTGGCCTAGCAGGTGGGCTAGTGGAACGGGGTAACAAGCAGTACGTGCTCTCTCTCTCTCTCTCTCCCTCAAGGCCGGCCACAAGAATTTGCTGGAGCACTAACTCGATTCAAGAGGATGGGGGAAAAGTCACAAAGCAGACACGCCCGTCCGTCAGCCGCCAGCCACTGCTTTCACTCCCCAAAAGGTGGTCTCTCGTCTGCCCTCCCAGACTCGTCCGGACGATGCCCCGGGTGAATTTGGCCAGCAAATCAAAGGCGCCAGCATGCGATTGATGGCGCGCTTGAGGCTCGCGGCCACGAGAACCCGTTCCGCTGCCGCCAGCGACGAACTCTATTGCCTCAGCAAGTTCCACCCGTCTCGCGCGCTGCCTGTCAAGCGTCGGTCCGCCTGGGTGAGGCGGCGAGGCCCTAACGTCGTACCAGGACCCTCCTTGCTCTTGACCGAAGCCTGGGCCGTCGTCGTGCTGACTCGCCTCAAGAGAAGAGAGAGCTGTGCGCGTCAGTCGTCCACCCCCCTATTGTCTCTATTGAAGCCTACTAGATCCAACGAGGACGTCCTCTTCGCAGCCTAAGAGGCGAAATGCATACTGGCGTCAAGATGGCTGGCGCAGCGTCACTCGCCCCCTTTTGCTCGTCTGACCATCTTGATGAGTCTCACTTTCTCGCAGCGCCATGGTCAGAGTTCGTAATGTTGCCACAACCCAAAGAGCCTTTTGAAGAGAGGACTGCTGTGTTTGTCAAAGTGTTTGCTCCGAAAAGGGGGGGTCCAACACGTGAACCAAGGCTCCAACCAAGCTGTTCGTCAAGAAGAGTTAAGTCGCAGTACTGGCAGCTGTACTGGGTACTGTTACTTTCGTTCACCCCTCCGGAGGTCCGCATCCGCTCCAGGCATGATGTCTGATTGTGCTCTTGGCCTTCGTCGCCGCCACCGGCGCTGTTACTAGTTCGTGAGCGGCTTCTTCGATTCCAGGTTGTCCCTGCTGCCCTTGGCTGGTCTCCCACCCTTCGACTCCATCGTTCCATTGCACTCACTGGCTGGGTGGCTGATTGAGTACAAGTCTCTCTGGCCCTGGCACCTTTGACTTCATCACAGTACCAAGGAGTGCCTTCTCGGAAGGTTGTGGAAAATCAAACTCAAGTCCTTGACTCCAGCATCAGCATCAGCCCCCCATGTTCTCTTCTCGCATACTGTCCTCTTTTCACATACCTGTACTGTGAAGCCACTTTGGACAGGCAGTCAGTTTCTGGATCCATACTGGACTCAGCTTTGCTGCCACGCTCTCACACTCGTCCTTTGGCACACTGTCAAGAGAGTCATGGCCTGGATCTGATCGGCTGGGCTTATTGTCTACAAGTCCTTCCGCCCTCGATTTGCAAGTCCTTCCGCCCTCGCAAATCGAGGATCAAATTCAACTCCAGGTATCAGACACCTCGTCCAAGCATTACACAGCATATATCCAACGGCTCCTCTAGCCTTTACATGACCGTTTAGCACCCGTTGGAGCAGAAAACGGCGAGGCGATCCGACTGGTGCCGCGGGATCAAAGTCTCTAGCTCCAGAGCCGTCAAGGCCTGCTGCAATGGGCCGCCCACTACAGCTTAGCACGTCTAGCTAGAGCCGCCGTACGCCTTCCTGAGCTCTCTGGTCGAGACGGACATGTTGAGCCGTTATCTCTCCCAGCCGTTGCACCCCGAGGGCGATGTACTCAATGCCATGAAGGCTGGCAGCCCGAAACACGACTGGAAGGCGCTTGTATGAGGCAGCGTCCATTCCACCGTTGCCAATCTCAGCAGGTCTCTTTGGCGTCAAAGGAGGAGAAGGGAACGAAAAAAAAAATCCTGACAAACCCCTCCCTCCCTGTCTTTGCTAGTAAGACCAGACAGGGACCAGCCTTCTTTCTACACGCATTGAGAAACCCGAGAACCCCCTATACCTCGTTTGATTCGATCACCATGTCTGCAGAAGGACGAGGACTAGTTGAGAAGAGCCCCAGAGCCCCCTCCTTGAGTCCAGCCGTCTGCTGCATACTGTCATATCTCCCATTCAACGTCTCTCGAGGAGCCCCGTAAGTTCGGACGAGTTGTATGCATCCGCACTCAGCCTACAGGTGTTCTTTTGCCCATGAAGTAAGTGCGGAGTATGTACTTGCAGATGGTTGCAGACCGACATTCTGTGTTTGCCCCAGCCACCGCGTGCGAATGGGTTATGCCAGAGGATCACCTGCCACCTCGGAGTCAGTCTCTCCTCTCTCACACTCTCGCACAGATGCACACACACACACTCTCTCTCTCTCTCTCATGTCCCTATTCACACCTTCACGGACTCCTCTTCTCCCCTCTCGCTGCTCTTCTTCCCTTTGTACTCTCCTGCTCCTTCAACGACTCCTATCAGGGGGGCAAACTCCATGGGCCAAAGCAAGAAGAGGGACAGCACAGAGAGAGAGAGAGAGAGAGAGAGAGTCGCAGTCGGGCCATGCCCTCCACGTGATGATAACGTGGATGGTGACGAGAAGTTGCTGCGGCCTGGGTAGTGCGTTGTCGCCCTGTCCTGGCGTTTTTCAGGGGGGAGGCGCCACAACACAACACAAACAGAGAGAGAGAGAGAGAGAGAGAGTGGGCGGGAGGGGCCCCTTTCGTACAAATCCATACAAAGTACAGTGTACAATCCCACAAGCTGGAGAGAGAAGACAGGGCGGGGCTTCCTTTCCGTCTAGTCTCCAATTTCTGCCTGTTAGTGCCTCTGACCTTGGCATGGGGGCGTGTCGCAACGAAGCATGTCCGCAGTCCAAGGGGCGGCGCGCAGCTACTACCAGTAAGCGGACACGATTCGTCCCTTACCAAGAGCGGCGAGGCGACGCCGCATCAGGACAAACCTGCTTCTGCTAGGGGAGCATGGCCAACATGGATGGACGCGACCGGGACAAACAATGCGTGATGGGCCAGCTGCATTCTCCTCGTCCAAGCATCCAACAGCTGACCAGATACCAGTATCCTATCGCATCCCACACGTGCCGTGGTACGCTCTCGACGAGGCTCACGGTGATCGTCACCCACAGCACACTTGGCACTCTGTTCGTGGAAACTGCCTTGGTAGCCAAAATCAACTGACATCTTGTTTATCACGCACTATAGGACAGAAGTTCAAACCTCCAAAAAAAAAACAAGAGTACCTTCCCTTTGGCAAGCCCCCCTGCCGCCCGATATAGCTTCACCCAAGCCTGTTCCGAACCGTATATCCACCAACCCGTCAGCCAAGTCCGAGGCTCCTTTTACCGTTGACCCAACAAAGGAATTTTGCCAGCCTCCATCCCAGTGAGCCACACTTTACCATGCTGCCGTCGTCCTCGTACCCGTCCCGCTCGACCCCCCCGAATCTTGATGCCAGCCGACATGTAAAAATGGAGTGTTTGATTATCACGTCCTTGGAATGCAAATGGACAGAATGCAAATGGACAATGGTGAAGAAAAACAAAAACAAAAAGCCACAAACAGGGCGCTTTAAAAGAGGGGGAAAAACATTAGATGGAAAAAGAAGAGAGGAGACAGCGAACAAACAGACCGGACAAGACAAGAGGAGGAAAACAAGAAACCATCGTATCATCGCGTAATTCAGTCCCCAATCGTTTCGAACATGGTGGTGCCGTGAGGCCAATCCGTCTTATCTGGAAAAGAAAAAATGAAAACAGGAAATCCTTGGCCAGTATGTCGTTCTGAGAACAGAAGAAGGAGCCAGGAAAAATAGTAGAAATCAGAGACGATGCTAGACAAGAAGAATGTAAAGACGTCGAACTTGAGATAGCCCCAGTGTCTCCCACTTTCCTCTTCTATCCACGGAGAAGCATAGTAATGTATGACGCGCAGCGCAAAGACAGGAGCTCAGCTCCCATCAAACCCCCCGTTGTTTTTGTTTTCTCTCTCTCTCTTCTTTTTTTTTAACCCTTTTCCTCCATTTTCCCATTTTTTTTCTTCTTTTTGGTTCGTAATTATATTCCTTGGTGGTAGGTTTGGTTTTCTTTTCATGGAGAAGGAAGAGGTCGCACAGATAGCAATTACCGCGCAGAGCGAAGACGTCGAACATCAGGAAGATATCGGAAAAAGAAGGATAACGAGACGAGTCGTATCGAGACGCAGAATTCCGCCAATCGTGGTTCAACTTGACCCTCCATGGACTCGATTTTTGTGTTCTCCCTTCTATATCCCCTCCTTCGCTGCTTGATTGGCATCATCCATCTCCCGACGACCGCAACTTCCAGGCGCATCAAGTAGGGTGCCAAAGCACATGTCTTTAGCGAGAGGCCTCTCTCTGGCTCTGGCCAGAATTAGTGTCTCGAGGTCGGTTGAGGCGCTCAATCATCGTCTTGTCGATGTCGTTCTTGTCCACGAGGTTGCTGAGACTCATGATGGAGCTTGACTGCTGCGACTGGCTGGTCTGAGGGCCCGATCGCGCCGGAGTCGATGATCCGCTTGATCCATTTTGCTGCGTGATGGGGGAGCGCCCATCAGCAGTGCCGACACTGGAGGGGTGCGGTAGAGCTGGGTTTCGGGGGCTGTGTCTGGCAGCTCCCGAGTAACGCGAGTAGCTTAAGCTGCTGGGGCTGCTATTGTTGGAAAGCTCGGCGGGCGATCTTCGCCGGTGATCGTCGTCCATCCCGCCAGCTCGAGGAGGAGGCAGCCTATATGCGTCATCCAGATCTTGCGACGACCTGCGACGTCTGCGCCCTACCTTCTGGTCATCTGCCCTGAGCTCCCCTCTGGGTTCCCCCCGCAGGTCCCCCCTCATATCTCCTCTCGGGTCTCCCCTCAGGTCCCCGTAAGAGGAATATGAATCGGTGGGTGACTGGGCCGGCGGGTGGTAATAAGGCCCGGGCGGGTGGTGGGGCGGACCTGCCGGCGGAGGATAGGCGTGAGACGGATGTTGCGGGTGGTGTTGCGGGTGATGCGGGTGAGGGTGAGGGTGAGGATGAGGGTGAGGCACGGTGCTCGGGGCGAGAGGCTGGCCGTAGGCTCCGAATAACTGCGTCCCGGGCGGCACGCCTCCGGGGACGGCCGAGACAGGGATAAAGGCCGTGGAGCTTGACGAGCTCACGGGCTGGAAGATGCATTCCTGGTTCATACGGGCGCAGTTCTGACACTTGCCGCCAGGGGCATTCTGGTGGCCGCTGCAGCGAATCTGGAGAGCGCCAAGGGAGCACGGGTTAGCTACTGATGGATTTCAACAGGCGGGGTGACAACCACAGACACACACAAGGGCTGATTAATGCACACTGCGTGACAAACCTTTCGTTTTCTGCAATACCTGCAGGCAATGGAGGTCCGCTGCCTAGGAGCTTCTCGAGGGCGGTCCATACCCGGCTGACCATAGTCTTGTGCGTAGCCGGGAGGAGGGCGCGCGTAATCGTGAGCATAGCCGTTGTGGTGGGCTTGTGGGAGTCCACGGTAGTAATAGTCTGCGGAGTACTGGTCATGATAGGCCGGATGCGGAGGAGGACGGCGGTCGTCGTAATATGCACCTCGCGGCTCGGGTGGAGGGTATGCAGGCCGAGGGTCTGACTGAGGCTGCAGAGGAGGGAGGTATGCGGCCGGCTGCTGCTGGCTTCCGGGTGGTGGATAGCCATTGACGGCATTCGGAGACGCATATCGCGGGTCGCTCACGTAGCCTCGGCCAGCTGGAAGAGGAGGCCCGTAGCCGCTGGGCCGGGAGTCGTGGATGGACGGCAATGTGACTGAGGTTGCCATGGTGCTTCGAGAATGGGCACTGCTTTCGGTATCCGCAGGGGGTGCGTCCCGAGGAGGGACGTGGTGGTAGTACGGGGGCAGAGGTTGGTGCTGCTTGATATCCTCGGGCCGTTGTTGCTGAGGATACTCCTGGCGATGTCGATCCTCTGCCATGCTCTGCGAGAAAGAAGAAAGAGGCGTGAGAGGTGGCGGGACAGAAAGAAGTGTGCCGCGCCGTTTAGCAGATGAGTCGAACGATCCCAAAACCTCCGACCAATTCCCAATTGCTGGCGAGGAAACGAAAGAGCATCTGGCGGGCCCGAATTATCGACACAAGGCGCCGAGAAACGAGGATGTTTGGGCTTCGGACACCGCAGCGACGTCGAGGCTCCGGCGAAGGGAGAGAAGCGTTTGTCGTATGCGGAGAGTTTGAGTAGAGAGGGATGAGCTGCAACAAAGAAACAGGCCGCTTCCCTACAGTCGTGGGGAAGAGAGAAGAAGAAAAAGATGAGGAGGGAATGAAAAGTAGAGCCCAATTCGAAAAGAGGAAAAAGATACTCGCAATTCGACCAGTGTACCTTTGGTGCTGCAGAGGGCGAGGCGCCTTCGGCTTGGTCTCGGACGCAAGATGTGGTGGCAGCGGCTCAAGGTGGCTGCAGCGGCTATGTGTGCAAAGATGCAGGCGAACCCCCCCCGGAGAAACGCCACGCTAGAAGCGAAGAGACGGACAAGAGAACCCGAGGACGAGACACACGGCAATGGGCCTAAGCCGGCAAGGGGACAGGGCCTGCTTGATGGTCTCGCCGTACCCAGCAGCTGCGGTGGCCGTGGACGAGGGATGGACACCGTATCGTACAGACGAAAGGGCGAGCAGGAGATTGACGACAGAGAGTGAGTATTTGTGTGTGAGAGTTGAGGGAGAGAAGAAAGAGACAAGAGAGATCGGAAACGGACGGTATGGGAAGACGTGGAAGGGGAAAGAAGAGTTCAAAAAGGGACTCGCGTGCTGGGCCGGCCCCAAAGATGGCTCTCTTGCGTGCAGCAGACTCGAGTCGAGTTGGAGAGGAAGGGTTTTTGGTGGGGTGCAGAGGTGAAGGAGGGGGGGACGAGATAAATGAGGACGCAGGAAAAAAGACGAGACGGCGGCGAGCGGGAATGTAAAGGCGGGCGGATGGGCCGGTGTCGTGCCGTTCCCAGCGCTGTGGCCCAGCTAAGGCAGGGCAAGACGCTAGAGCTAGGGGGCTAGTGGGTGCCCTCTAGCGCTGGTGCGTAGCGCGACGACGGGGGGATTAGGGGAGTGCCTCCAGGGCGAGGTGCTGGAGCCGCCTGTACCTTGGGTCGGTCGGTCGTAGCTTGAGAGGTCAACCCCGATACCTTATGTACCTACCTTGGGTACCTCCCGTCACCTTTTACTTCTGGTGACGTACCTGTACGAGTCGCCTCAAGTCCCCGCCGATGCTAAGGTTGGTAGGTTAGTAGGTATTGCCTTGGGTCTAGCAGATGCCCGAGATGCCCAGTACCTACTAGGTAGGTAAGTACCTAAGGTAGGTAATGTCCAGTCAGGCAGGCAGTCGAGCCTAAGAGGCGCCCGGTGCTGGGTGGTGAACTTGTAGGTTGTGCGCTAAGAAGTGCCTCTGGAGAAGGAACAGAGCAGATGGGAGAGGCAGAGGCCGTGGCCGTGGTCGCCGTCTGTGGCTGCCGCACCCCCGAAACGGAGTACCTGGATGCCCCCGGTGTGCAGAGTGCAGCCGCAGGTATCCCAAGGCACAGTGGCGGTAGGGGGGCGTTTCTTCTCTTGTCAGGCTTGGGCTGGCGTCGCCGTTCCGTGCCGTTCTTGTACCCTGTGCGCAAACTCAGCTGCCCGCACACCACCCGGTGCGTGACAAGTGCCCCAGGCCTGGCGCGGTTGGGTGTGTTATGGTCCAAGCAACGCACTACCTGGTAGTGGGTAGGTACAGTAGGTAGGTAGGTAGGTATGCGTCTCTTGAAAGTATGCGAGCCGCAGGTGGGTGCTCTGGGTGCGGACGTGTGCGTGCGGGTGGAAGTTTATTGTGTCGATGCTGCTGCTGCTGCTGCTGCTGCTGCTGCTGCTGCTGCTGCTGCTGCTGCTGCTGCTGCTGCTGCTGATGCCGTCGTCGTCGTCGTTGTCGTCGTTATCGTTGTTGTTGTCGTCGTCGCCTTCTGGCCTTCCAAAGCCAGTCTACTTTCTGCTGCAGATACTTCCCACGCAGCAAATGTCGCTCGCCCTAGATTAAGGCAGACAGTTGATGCCACCAAAACAGGGTCTCGAGGGCTTCGCGAATGTAGTCTGGCAGCACGTCAGCCGCGTGCTCTACGAGTCGAATGTTCGCGAGGAGATGTATCACGCTATAAGGTCACTGCTGCCCAGACAAGACAAGACGGGAAGGGAAGAGAAGAGAAGAGAAGAGAGAGAGAGAGAGTGTGTGTGTGTGTGTGTGTGATGAGAACCCGGGATTCAAATGCCACGACTCTCGGAAGTGCTCGCTTGAACCTAGCCTTGCAGCAGGCACAATGGTCTCGTCGTCTCGCCGTCGCGTCGTATCAAGGTTTGTTCCGCCTTGCTTGGCTGTGGATGCCGGAACTGAGACCTGGGGCAATGTGTGTGTTAGACTTTTCTTCATTCTCTGTTTCTGCAAAGCGTGCTTGTCAAGTGGAACGTGTCGGTCCGTGTCTGCAAAAGCGGGACAGCGTCTGTTCTCCCTTGCAAAGACAAGAGCGCTCCGTCTGCCACGATGTTGCGTCATCCAGGTGGGAAAGATGGGATGCTCCATGTATTATTTTTCCTACACACGCTCGCGGGAAAAGAGGGTCAAGATGGGCCAGGCAGAGGAGCAAGCTGAACAAGACACAAAAGGAACACACGAGGGCAAGAAATGTGCGTTGTGGACAATTGGCAGCAGCACATCGAGGGCCGACAGGCAGAGGGATGGACAAGACAGGAAGAAGCCCCCAGCTGCCTGCTCGGAGGAGCCGTGGATAGCATCAAATGCCCAGCAAGATGGTGGTGGCGGGCTGCTGCACGCTGGAAAGCTGTTGTTGGCACCGCGACCAACAGCCGCCATAAAAAGCGTCAGCGTTGCCGTCCCGTCGCAGCACCTGTCTCGCCCTCTTCTCTGCTGCCGTTGCCTGCTGCTGCATGGGCCCAGTCTGCGGCCACGTACCAAGTGCAGCCCCGTAAGCAAGCAGTGATTGCTGCATGGCTTCGCATCGTTTCATGCAGCATCCCTCCTCAAACAAGCTGCCGCACCAGTCAAGTGCAGGCACGGGCACGGGGGCGAGCAAAGGCAGCACAGAGGCATGCGTCTTCGTATGCGCGCATACGGACGCAGCATTGCATGTCTGCAGGCTCGCATACTCCATCCCTTCATCCATCCACTCTTCCAATTCGCAGAGAGGTGCATTTGCATGTGCAGATGGCCTCGGTGCCCACGATCCTACCTGATGTATGGGTACACTGTGATTTTTCCCGCGCGCACAAACAGGAATATGCAATAGTCGGAAAGGTAGGTAGGGAGGCAAGGTAAGGGTGAGATTGGTACATACATACCTTACACGCCAAAGAGCAAGGAAAGGTCTGGAGCCTTGGTTGACAAATTACCCGCTGAGGGCCAAGGGATAGCGACTGGAGCAGGGAACAAGAGGGCGTAGGTGGAAGACGTCTTGTTCGCAAATGAAAGATGACTTTGGAGAACGCCTCACCACGTCGAATGAGTAGGTAGGTAGGGCACGATGCGGACAAGCTGCCCGTCAGGAGGCACCGGTACTGGAGATTCGACAGCAATGCGCAGGCTTGCGGTAGACGCAAGCTGGTACGTCAGATGTCGGCTGCAGACAAAAGAGGAGAGACGCGGTTCAGACAGCTCGGCTGCTTCTCATCAGCTCTCTCTTGGCCGTAGGGTGTCGCTCTCCTTTGCCTCTGCAGAGCTGTTCGTCGGGTTTGCACCCTTTCTCAGGGATGGCAGGGCGAGGCACTCGAGGCACGTCTACCTTGTATCGGACCTTGTATCGGATAGGTATGCTACCGCTTGGGTACGGAGCACTTCGTGCCTTTTGGCGACCTGGTCCCTACAAAGGTGAGTCAGGTAAGGTAATAGAAGAATGCTGCCAAAGGGATAGGTAGGCTGACAAGGAAGAGAAAGGGAGATGCAGTTCAAGGGGACGGAGGAGAAAAGGGCGAAAAGGGAGAGGAATTCGAAGAGAGGGGGGACTCTGAGACGAATGGCAGGTTTTGGCAGTCCGGTGATGGTGCTGATGAAGGAAGGAACATACCTTACTTTATATCCAGGCAGGGGCGAACAGCATAGGTAGGTACGCTCAGGTCTCGTCTTTCTTGGTACCTGCCTGCTACCATCCTACCTGCCTACCTACCATGGGAGGTACCTACCTCGTCTTACTCATGATACCTACCTACCTTAGGGATTCCTCACCTACCTGGATAGGTACCTCACCTTGCCTTGCCTCTCAAACGACGCACAACTGTGTGTATATTCCTGCGCAGTCAAATACCTGACAACAGCCGAGATGACATGGCTGAAAACAATCAATTACGCAATGGATGAAGGCAAACAGATAGGCCAAGGTGCAGATGTGTCCGACCTATCAGCAGGCTGGCAAAAGCAGCTCTTTCTCTCTCCCTCTTCACAAGATATATTCGCAACCCGTTGCTGTGCGGTACTACTACTACTCACAATACCAGAGAGGCCCGAAGACCGAATCAAACGTCCATCGTCTGGTGTATTATCGACGTATTTGGTAGACTTCCCTTTAGGTTCCAGCCAACACAGTGCGGGAGCGGCCAGTGGCGTGTGCCCAGCGAGACCGTGGAGGCGTGTCCGGATCGACTCGACGGGTACCTCCCGAGGCCTGCGTCTGCGCTGCGGAAGCCAGGTAGCTCCCTGCGGCCACCGTGCATGTAGACATACAAGTACAGTACTAGTACTACTACTAGTATAGACACCCGCCCGAGCAGGCATCAGGGATTTGCCAGGTGTGTTTGTTCTCTGTCATCTCTTGCTTCCCCTGCCTTAGCAGGTACACGGCGGTAGCTGGTAGGTAAGAGGTAGTACTGCTGCTAGTAGTAGCCCTTTGCACCTCCGACAGAGGAGGTACTTGTACGAATCTCACGAGAAGGCCGCAGAGGCTCGCAAAGGGTA